TTTACCCATCCTCGGCTTCTAATTTCTTGTGGACCCATAGAAATAAAGCTAAGAGAATATAAGTTGAGGTAAACACCATTTATTGCATATATAAACTTCCTGTACTTTTGACTATTGCCATTTTTTAGAAAATTCACAAATCAGAGAAATCTTTTATTTTCTAAAATAACCTCTTTTGTAAATCAAAACTGGTATATTGCCTAGGTTTCCAAATTTAAACAAGCTGAGCCAAAACTGAAAGTGTAATTACCATGGTACTATCAAAGCAATATTATCCATATTTTCAAGTAGATAATCTCTTTCAAGATTACATATGTTGAACTTTAACTAATGTTTATCATAGAAAATAAACCTAATGTTTATCATAGAAGACTTTACCATTTTCTCTTTTTGAAATCTAAGTAGATGATAGCATTAGGTAATATTTATAAATTATAGTTCCAGGCATTGTAATAAATAATTTTGAAAAATAACTTTAAAAAGTAGGCTATTATCTTTGTGAAGGACAACAAAGTAAAGAAATATTTTCAACTAACCAGTTTAGCTGGAATGGTAGGACTGAAACCCAAGCCCAGACCTTACTCACTCCCACAAAAACACATTTCAATTTGTGCATATCACCTTATCTATCCTACTAATAGGAGTAACAGCATTATATGAACTCTAGAAAATGCCACTGCTACTTTTTGTTTTGTATATTCTTTAAACTTAACTAACTGTATAAAATGAACTTAAATAATAATCAGTTAACTGAAATGTTTGTGTGCTACAATTTTCAATTCAGGTAGGAATTGTTTAATTTCCCTCTTGACTCCCACCATTATTGTATAAACAAACTCCCTTTCTTCTTCCTACACTTTTGCAACTTTCTTTTCAAACAGTTGCTGGATTATCATTAAACTCTTAAAATACATGTGCTCTCTTAGGTCTCTAAGAAAGCTGTATTATTAAATAAGCTGCATAAACATCTACAGTATTAGATAACAGAAGTTTTTCAGGAAAAAATTTTGTAAATAATTTCATCCTGTCTTTTTTTAGTTTAATGCAAATTAAGGCATGTAGTTAGCATGATTGACTTTGTTCAAACTATTATATTTTGAGTCCTTTGAGATTCAGGCTTAAAGTCATGCATGCTTAAACTAAGTTACTATAGCTTGATCACTCTGAGTATTTATAGTATTTCCAATGCATAAGGTGGAAAGAGACAATAGTCTACATTTCAACATGCCAAATAAGGCCCCAAATAGCAAGGCATTTACAGCTTGTGAAAAAAGTGTTAATAATATTATCCATTTATGGAACAGCATTGCTCAGAAAGAAACTCAGAAGAGTCTGACTTTAATCCACTAATCATGCATGTAAACTTGATTCTCTGAGCTAATAAGCTGATGACATTTATCAGTAGCCAACCAAAGGAAAAAAAGTATCTAGCTGTTTAATTCTAAATCAGGTTTTCATTAATTATATTGAAAATATATTTAGTTTTTCAATAAATATGTATTTCTCTGAACTCAATAAAAGCATTTATCAGATGTTTGATTATATTAATTTCATGGTTCTAACAAGAATTATAGAACTTTTATACCACGAATGCACTCAAAGATTAAGTCAAATCCCTACATACCATGAATGTTGTTTTATAAATAAAAGGATATAATTAAAATCAGTCGACTCTGAAATTGTGACTGCAGCAATAACTTGAAAAAGAAATGAATGAATATAGGTTCCATTGATCATCTGCATGAAATTGGGAAATTTAAGACAATTAGGAGTACCTAATGCAAACATTATGATCCTGATAACAAAACACAATGTCTGGTGCCTAGTTATTAAAGTCTTAATATTTCTTTTTTTTTTTTTTGCTTTATTTTCTAACACTTTATCAGTTTAAGGATATACAACATGTATATATTGTGACACGATTCCATAGTAAGTTTATTTAACATCTATCACCTCACATCATTATATTTTTTCCCTTGTGATAAGAAGTTTTAAGATCTATTCTTTCAGCCACTTTCAAATATATAATGCAGTATTGTCAACTATATACTACATACCCAGACCTTATTTATCTTGTAACTGGTAGTTTGTGCCTTTTGACCATCTTCACCCATTTCCTCTACCCTCCATCCACCACCTCTGGCAACCATAAATCTATTCTGTTTCTAGTGGTTCCATTTTTTTAGATCCTACATGTAAGTGAGATAATATAGTATTTGTCTTTCTTTGTCTGGCTTATTTCACTTAACAGAATGTCTTTATTTATGGCTAAATATTACATTAAATTGATCTGAGCTATCTTCCTTGAAAAGAATTTAGCAGCAATAGGAAAACTTCAAAGACTACTTTCAAATAATAAAATAAATTTTCTAATCTGGGTCATTAATGGATACTTCAATAATGAAATTACCCACAGGAAAGCAAATCACATTGTAGAAAGTGTAATTTTGCTTTCTTTCTCCTCTAAGTAGAAATTTTCACCAAATTTTTTACTAGTGTCTTTTCATTTTTTTATTTAAAAAAGTTAAAATTTTTGAAAAATCTAAATATGTTTTCTAAAAAATAAAAGCATTAACGGACTGTGGAACAATATTACCAAAGCTTCAGAAGAAGATCAACTTTAAATAGTCATTTATTTGTATTTTATTCTACTCATATCTTTTAAACGACCTTCAAGAAATATTCAACTAGAGAGAATACAGCCTACTCTCCAACTCTTAAGTTAAAGGTTCCATACATCCTCTTTTGGGGTGATGTTTGATAGCTGAATAAAAGAGAAAGTAATCATCAGTGCCTAGTCTCTCCACAACATCCATGATCATAGGGAAAATATCCTCAAAGAAGAAGATTCAAAATCCTAAGTTTAGGGACTAAACAGTGATTTCAATGTAATAGATGAAGTAGGTGGCTCTAGTACATACTATGTATAATATTATTTAACTGTCAGTTGTCAGAGATGAACATGAAGTGTGCATGCATGGGTGTTCCTTTTTTTTTTTTCTACAAACAAATGGTACTATGATAAGCCATAGTCATATCATATCAACAAATTAACATGCTTATCTATTTGACCATTCTTTAATGATAACAACATTCAGGTCTCAGAGATCACCCACTGCACCCACTGAGGGGATATTTGGATCCTTAGATCCCTGTTCTTTTATGCATACAGTTAAACCAGCTCCACTCCTCTGTGCCTTACCTATAGCATGGACCAGAAAATAAATTTAGAACTTGAATTATATAACAGTGGTTTGGGGACATGGTGTCAACAAACTGATATGTCATATGGTGTTATATTCAGCAATAACTATGGCTAATAAAAAAACAAGTTAATAAGTGATTTACTTGCTCTTTATATAAATTAGGTCATATTCACTGCTATTCTAATAGTATCATTTTTTTTCTCAGTTGAATTTCTTGTGATTTCTTGAAATGACAGATTAAGGGGTATCCAATTCCATTTAATTCTGAGAAAATTCCTGAGAGTGAACTCCGCATGTAAATAATCATATATATACACATATATATGCATACATATACATATATATAATCTCCTTCTACATGTGCATGAGTGAACTCCACATATAAATAATTTTTATATGTGTAATATATATGTATATATACATATATATATGTATATACATATATACATATGTGTGTATATATATATATCCTTCTACATGTGCATGAGCAAGACAAGAACTCATGTCCATGAAGAAAAATGCACAAAGACACTGAAATTTGGAGCCTGGTGAATAAAGGTTTTTATTTCAGTGGAGCCAATTACATATATATTCACAGACTTTTCTCTCCCACCTCCTTCTTGCCAAGAGCATTTTTTTTTCCCTTTCTCGTGGAATATAAATTCCACATTAGTTTTTCTGGTACATAAAATGCTGTATATGCTTTGAATATCTACCAGTAATTAATAGCCTTTCATCCAAGTAGGTAATATATAGGAGTGAATTTATTGCTTGTGAGTATATAAATATCACTTAAAAACTATATGCAAGGACATAAAGGCAACGCTGAAGTGTAAAATTGTTAATGCAGACTCATAGCCTGGAAAATGATTTATTTTAATGGTCTTCTTCATTTAACAGTTCTTCATTTGAAAATGTTCCCTTTCAACTGCAGATTTTGTGTTTTGGTGCAATGAAGGAGAAATTTATTCCTTTGAGACATTTATTCTTTTAATAGTTACTCATTTGAAAAGTTTCACCGGGTGCTTATATATTTTGTAGGTTGCAAAGGGATCCATTCTTTTTTTTTTTTTAATATTTTATTTAGTTATTTGAGAGACAGAGATCACAAGTAGGCAGAGAGGCAGGCAGAGAGAGAGGAGGAAGCAGCTCCCCGCTGAGCAGAGAGCCCGATGCGGGCCTCGATCCTAAGACCCTGGGATCATGACCTGAGCTGAAGGCAGAGGCTTTAACCCACTAATCCACCCAGGTGCCCCAAAAGATCCATTCTTGATAGTTTTTTTTTTAATGTTTATTTATTTAAATAGGTTCTCACTCTGTGGAACTGTTGTTGTTTCTTTAAACCGGAACTTTCTGGGGGTTCTGGTAAAGCTGTAGTAAGTCAACCCATAGACTTTCTCAGAGTTCTGCAAGCCCTGAGGCCATGGAAGAGTCACATCATCAGAAAGGAGAAAATTTGTAAAATGAAATTGAACCATTAGTAGATGTCCTTAACTTTAGTGTTATTGGGATTTCAACTTTACTACCACAGAGCATTTACAAGGCGACTGGCTTGGTAATATATTATGTGGCCATGAAAAATATGTATCAAACTCTCCCATACAGATTTGAAAACAGGGTATCTGTCACAAACATTTTGTTTTAATTAATACTGAATATGGCCACTGTAACTTCAATTTTGATTGATTGTTTTGGGATTTTTAAGACCAAGTAGGGTCATAATGTGTTCTTACATATTCTTTTAAATTAAATATCTATTTATTGTCCTCACTTTAGCCCATTTTTCATTTACAGTTCCAAAGACAGCACCCACCAACGTAAGTGGAAGAAGTGGAAGAAGGCATGAGTTAGTCATAGCCTGGGAGGTAAGAAAGCCTGTAGTCAGTTGTCAGACTTGTTGATTCCTTAGAAAATAAGGCTACATATATAGGATCTGTACTTGGTACAGATAGATTGAGTAATTTCTCTTTAAATGAGGTTAAGAAACACTTTGACCATATATTACTCAGATGAGTATTATCAACATGAACCTGTCTCATTTCATACCCAGTCCCAGTTGACTTTTTTCAAGTCTAAAGTATGTCTTCCTGTCATATAGGCTATCTCAGAATAAAGTTTGAATAGTTAAAACACATCCTCTCCCCACTACTTCAACTGTTTGGCTTAGTTTGACATTTAATTATTTCACAATTAAATAGCACCCTTATTAAAACCAGTGGGGAGGAAAGAAATGACCACCACTGTACTTGTGACACAGTGCCTAGGTTATCTCATTTAACCCATAAAACAACCCTTTTAATATGGATGATACTTTTTCCTCATTTTAAAAATTATGAAACTGAAGCACAGTTTAAGTACTCTTCCTAATCAGCAGTAGAATTGGGACTTTGTGTTCTCTTGTCTCACTCACCATGTGTTCTCTGAAGTTTCTTCTATAAAGGAGGCAAGGGAGAAGGGTGTGAGAGAAACATTCATTTTCCCATGAAGCCACTTTCCTTTTACTGATGTTAGATTACCTTTTTATCAAACATAACTATGTAGCTCACAGAACTGTGCCCTAGAATATGAAAATGCAAAGGAGATGCAACGTCTACTGGAGCAAAGTGAACAAATCCCTTATGATCTCTAAAACAATGATCAAATGGGAAAAATGTTTCCCAGTAAGAAATCTTCCATGGGCATATCTTGGGCTATTCTGTCCATCCCTCTCTTGTTCAATAAAAATTTATTTTTAATTTTTTTTTTTTACTTCTTCAGAGGAATTAACTTCTCAATACCTGAACTTCACTGAAGTCAATCTCTCTAAATAGAACTTCCTTCTCTTTCAGCTTCATGTCTTAGCCCCAGCTGCTAAAATAAGAATACCATAGGCTGGGGGTGACTTACGAATGACAGAAAAATATTTCTTACTGTTCAGAGCCTGGAAATTTAAGATCAAGTCACCAGCAGATTCCAGTCTGGTGATAGCCTGCTCTCTGCCTAACAGAGGGCCAATTTCTCACTGGCAGAGGGGCAAGAGAGGCACTACTCCCATTCATAAGGGCTCTGCCCTCATAATCTAATAACCTACCAAAATCTTCACCTCTTAATACCATCACATTGGGGGTTAAGATTTCATTATATGAATTTTAGGGGGCCAAAAACATTTAGTCTATAGAACTTTGATATAATAGGCTTTGTCTCTCTTTCTCTACTCAATATAGTTTTTCCTCAAATCAAAATTCAAAAGAAGAAAAAACCATGTTTCAACAAATATATATTTGGTATCTATGTGTCAAGCATTATGCTAGGCAGTGGCTGGTGACTGCTCCTTTAACTAACTAGCTAATCATAATTACTCCTTTCTATGGTGTATAGTTTATGCCTGTTTAACAAATTTAAATATAAGCATATAGTATAACAATTACTTGAACAAATATTCTTTTCTGATTTTTTTCACATTAATAAAGCACAAAAGCAAATGAAAAAGAAAATACTATAAAGAAGGTCTTACATTAATACTTCTTGTTTTTCTGCACAAAGGACTCTGCAGAGCATTTCCAGCAACAGATTTTTCTGACCACCAAACTATATGACAGTTTTCCCCAACATGCTAAATTCTAGTGTGGAATGTTCATTGCATATACATGACTACCTGGTTTAAATTTGTTTCACTCCAAGAGTTTTCAGGACCCTTGATACTCTTCTTAAATACCAACAGATATTATTTAAGTTTTTATATTTTGTTTTTAACTCCTTTTAAGCTTCCAAAGACTACTAAGTGATTGTTCTATACTAAGTGATTGTCTTCCAGTGTGGCATTACAGATTTGAAAGTCTCCATTTCTCTGGTTATCCATTATTTAAAAAAAATAATAAATTTTGGGAGAAGTGGCTGTTTTAATCAGTTCATTTGCTGATCATTAATTGTATTTTTCTTCTTTAGCCAGTATCTGAAGAGTTTCAGAATGGGGAAGGCTTTGGCTATATTGTGGCTTTCAGGCCCAATGGAACACGTGGCTGGAAGGAAAAAATGGTGACATCCTCTGAAGCTTCAAAATTCATTTATCGAGATGAAAGTGTTCCTCCTCTTACTCCCTTCGAAGTGAAGGTTGGTGTTTATAACAATAAAGGAGATGGACCTTTCAGTCAGATTGTGGTTATCTGCTCAGCTGAAGGAGGTCAGTTTCTTTATCCCTATTATTTACATTCCAGGTTTTATTATGGATGTTATGTGGATGTTATATGGATGAAACATTGTTGCACACATGAGCTACATGGCAGGGGTTGGGGGGTGGGAAAAAGGTCATTTGAATATTGAAGCATAAAAATAGTGTCTGATTTATGTAAGGTGCAGTTTTTCAATACAAATTGCCCTGAGTTTTTTTTTTTTTAATATAGAGCCAAATTCTGAAGCAGAAGTAGAAAATTTATCCTAGTGTGATAATGACCAGAAAAAGTGAAGAATCAAGTAATAACAAGGAATCATAGGTGTTCCAGTGAGATACCCATGCACTTAGCATCTTAAGTATCTGATGTGTTTCCAGATACAGCAGAGGTACCATATTACTTATATTTGTTTAATTTAACTCTTACAACCAAACAGGAAGTAGGAATCTCAAACCCTAATATACTTTTCAGGAAGCTGAGGCTCAGAGAAATAAAGAAACATACTCAAATTCACACCAGTAAGTGAGAGAGTTGTAATAACTATAGTAAGTGACACCGATGGGATTTGAACCTGCATCTGTATGGCTCCAAAGCTCATGCTTTTAACTACTACTCTAAACTCTCTCATCAGGAATGTATATAATAATAATATTTTGGTATTTTACTATAATATATATAATAATATTTTGCACTATTTGTTACTGAAAAAATCTATTTTGAAGTACAGATTTTATTCAGGAAATCCATCTTGTTGCTTTAAAATTTCTTCAACTTAATTATCAAGCACATAACTCCAAAGGTCACTGAAGGTAAACTGGAAAGGTTTGTGAGCAAGCTTTGTAGAGTAACACCAGTGCTAACTTTAAGAAATCAAGATTTGTATGTTCCTTGTCAACCTTTGCTTTGAAATTAAATTATAGCAATCACCATGGGTTGTTTATACTGTGTTTACTTAAACTTGAAATAGCTTGCCTTTGGAGATTACTCTTTCAACCTAGATAGGAAATATGCATATTTTTTTAAGGCCCTGAGGTTGTTGCTATAACATATTTCATAGTAACACTTCATTTATTTTGGTAGACTGACGTATGAATGATACCAGGCAAATTAAATCTAGATAGTCTGCTTTTTTCCAAGTATTAAAAAAGTGTATTTATTTATTTGAGAGAGAGAAAGGGAGAGAACGAGAGAGCATGAGCAGGAGGAGGGGGAGAGGGAGAGGAAGAAGCAGACCTGGATCTGAGATCATGACCCAAGCCAAAAGGAGATGCTTAACTGACTGAGCCACCCAGGTGTCCCTGCTTTTGTTCTAACAACAAAATTGAAACACGTATTAGGCATTTGCTCACTAGTTAAATTTACTAATTTGGAACTTTTTGTGTAAATATGAGTAAAGTTTTAACATCATTAAACCATGCCAACTAGGAATGGTAGGACAATGGAAAGAAAGAGCATTTGCCTGAGATGGACAAAGTTTCAATCTGCTCTCTAACTAAAATCTTGTAGTTTATCCACCTCTCTGGACCTTTTTCTTCTTCCACTTTAAAAATGAAAGTCCTGAACTAGAATATCTCTAAAAGCCATTACAAATCTGAATCTCAAAGTTTGTCAATTTATTCTATATTTTTAAATACTCTAATTTTTAATTTTCCTAGATAGGAAAATTGCTTTACTTTAAAAGAAGTGAACATTTTTAATATTAAACCATTTTTTAAGAGTCAAGGACTGTAATGAACTTATAAGATATACTATATAGTGTACTCATGCCAGTGCAAGTTCCACTTCTCTATGTCGGAGGACATTCATACAGATTCAGAGTGTGCCTTTGTCATCATACCCTTGCCCAAAGCCCAACTGATCTGATTGAGGCCATAGTTCTCCATAAGACAAATTCTGCACCTTTGTTCTTCCACTAACCTAGTCCACTTGCTTAGCACCTCAAAAGCCTACCATATTTTTTGATAAAGTAAAGAACAAAAGGATTGGGGCTGGCATTCTATCTCTGTTTACAGGTATAATTCTTCTTCATAGAAAGATGACTTAGCTACATGCTTGGAGTACCATGGAAAAGCCACCTTTTCACCAGCCAGCACCAAGGCAGGAAGAAAACGTGTGCCACCAGAATTCATGTTGTTTGAAAGGAAGCAAGGTCTTCAAGACAAACCTTGCAATACTATTTCTCAACCTATTTCTCAGTGGTACATCAATGATGGATGACACTCACATCCAGAGCATACTTCTATAAGTGCTTATGTGCATGCCTCACACCTTCCATTCCTTTCTTTTCCTCTCAAGAAAGACAATTGCAAATAGCATGGAGGACAAGGGGAGATGGAGAGGAGAAGGGAGTTGAGGGAAACTGGAAGGGGAGGTGAACCATGAGAGACTATGGAATCTGAAAAACAATCTGAGGGTTTTGAAGGGGCAGGGGTTGGGAGGTTGGGGGAACCAGGGGGTGGGTATTGGAGAGGACAAGGATTGCATGGAGCACTGGGTGCAGTGCAAAAACAATGAATACTGTTACACTGAAAAGAAATTAAAAAATTTAAAAAAAAGAAAGGCAATTGGAATGAGAGTGAGAATTACATTATTATAGTAAAATTATGAATGTGATCTTTAGTGAAAGAACTCGTCATTTATAATACTGATTCCTGATAAATCACTTGAGAAATGACCTTGACTCTTGTGAATCCAAAGTAGACTACTACCACAGAATACTGTCAGAAAAGCTCCAAAGAGTTCTTCTGTTAATGCTCTTGCACCTTGGAAACCTTTCAAGATTTCAGCAACAGAAGTAACCCTAAATGACTCTAGATAATCCTGGAAGGAGAGACATTTGCCTACCAAGATTTCCATACACCTTGCACATGTATCAGTCATTTACACCCTTTAAACCAAGCAAGAATTATGTGCATTCTAATCTTGATTTGAGTTTAAATCCCTAGGATATGCTGTAATCCTATACAATACCCTCATTCTGGAAACAATTCCAATTTTTTTTAAATGAGAGCAAAGTTGCAACATAGTAATTTATAATGCATGGTAGATTTTTTTTAGCTTTCACTTCTATATATCTAGAAATAGTTTTTAGTCAAACTTATATCCATTTTCCACTTAGTTCTTATTACTAGAGTTTTGAAAGCAAAAGAACCTGAGCATTCAATTATATCTAATAGAATAATAGAGGGAGATTTGGTATAGATAAATTATAGTTTGAAAGATTTATTTATTTGTGATAAGACTTAGCTTTCTCTAGTTTATTTGGCTTTTGCCTTGTATGTGAAAAGTATACTGCTTTACTTTTTGTTAAAACCAAGAATCCTCTCCTCATTTGCAGAAAATGATATGCAATTATCTCCTTGCAAATGGAGCTACCACAGCCCAAATTAAAACCCAGCATTCATGAGGTGTTATTCTCCAGATCAATTCCTACTCAGTGGGATTTATGTGAACTTGAAAATTAATAAATTGGCATATTAGTTGTAAAATACAAGGAATAATTTCTTGTCTTTGCCAGATGATCCATTTGGATTAGTGCCTGTAAAAGTTCAACTACAGCAGTCTTCGCTGAATTTTTAAATAATGAAACCATAACCCTTTCTCCCAGGGAGTTTATTAAACCCTCCTTTGATTAATGCTGTTACCCACCCCTCCTGGGAAGTCAGATGTATAATCAATATTGCAAGCACATCCCCCATCTTACTTGAAGAACTCCAGCTGCTAAGTCACTTCATACAAATGTTATCATCTAAATTCATGAACATGGTAATGCTGTTCAAAATTTTTAATCTGACAGAAACTGAAATCTATCAATCAGCTTGTCCACTTTACATCCCAAGACTGGAGTGAAGGAGTTAGCCATGGCCTAATCAATATCATCATAAGTAAAAGAAAAACAAAATCTTTTTTAAGTCTTTGAGTCTATTACACATACCACTAGTACAGTCTCTGAAATAAGTCCCTGAATTTTCCTCAGATTACCTGAGTATAATGAAGTGAGTGGCAGGAAACATGTTGTTATTTACAGATCAGGAGAGTTTCAGAAATGCCTGAATATAACAGGATCTATGAGAAGCAGTGCAATTGTCGTTCAGCTTTATCAAAAATTCCATGAAACAGGAATAAAAGGAACTGATAGTAAGCCTGCAGTAAAGTTAAATAAGAGACGACAGGGTTTAGGGTGGCTTCTGACAAGACTTAGAGTAGAGAGCCCAAGTAGGGACCCCAACAACAATACTCTTCTAGAGAAATTTGGTGTGGTACAGCAAGGAGAGCAGAAAGCAGTAACACAAGGAAAAACATCATGTGTGTGAACACAGATAAATGCACAGAAGTGGAACAGCATGGCATTTACAACTAATTGCCATGTTGAAATCCTCTCTCCACCCTCTAGTAGCTGTGTGAACTTGGGCAAGCCTCTTGACTCTGCCTCTCAATTTCTTTATTGGCAAAAATAGTGTTAGTGATAGCAGGGTTCTTGGAAGGATTAATGAATTCATGTAAAGAATTTTGAAAAACGCTAGGCACATAACAAATCCTCAATAAATGGCAATTATTATTACCTTTGGCTGTTCCCCTCATCTATTTTTTGTTGTTGTTTGTTTTTAATTGTATTCCATTTATACCTCTGTCAGTTATTTAGAAGTAATTGAGAAACAAGAAAACGAACTATATGTTCCCTCTGAAATCTCTTGACTACCTCAAAGCTGACTAAGAAATATAGAATGAGCCAGCTGCTGCCTTGTACCAATATAAAAACAACAGAGGAAAGAGTACTTGAGACCTGAGCTCTAGTTGGGGTTCTTTTCAGAGCCAGAAGCAGAGTTTGGGAAAATCAACCTGTGTACATGTCACATTTTCATTTGCAAAATGAGGATGTGGATCTAAAACATAGGTCCATAACTCAAAATGCTATAAGTTCTGGTAAGAGATATAAATAAGTGAAGTAGTCCCAGCGTGAGATAATAGGTAGTGGTAGGGACTCTGGCAAACTGAAAAGACTATGCCCTGACTAATGAGATGAACTGCTAATTCTCATCTACTGACATCCACAAATTCAGACTTGGTATCACCAATTTTTTTTTTCCCTAAAGAAGCCAGAAATTCTTTTATATGAAATGTTGAAATAAATTAATGTATTATTGGGCCATACAAAGCATGACTAAAGACCCACTGGCCATGCATTTACGACCTTTGATTCAAGTGACTTACTAAATTCTTTCTAGTTTTAGTTTTAAAACTAAAACTTAAAACTTTAGTTTTAAAACTAGTTTAGTTTCTAGTTTTCTAGTTTTCTTTCTTACCTTCCATTATTCAGTTACAATGGAATACTCAAACAGAACAGCTAATTCCAATCCAAACTACACATTCCGTGATCTAGTCAGTTACTCTTGCTTACAGAAAAACCTTTCAATCATTGGCTATAACAATATATACTGAACCTTCTGGAAGTAAACTGATGGATATCACTTTTTTTTTTAATGCCAAAATTTCTCATTTCGATCAGCATGGGTTTATTTCTGATACTCTTTACATTCAGAAGGTGAAACACGTAAAAAAATAAATGACTCTTAAGTTCTTGTTTGATTCATCTGCCTTCATTCAATGAGATGCAATTATAATATTAACCCCCAAGAATGTATCTGTGACATGTCTGCTTGGGTCTGATCCTGATTTAAAATCCTCAGAGCTTTTAAACAGAAATTCAGGGTGCTTGTTTAGGAAATAGGTTTCTGAATATTTTTTTCTTTTCCCTTAAACTTTTTTTTTTTAATTTTTTAAAACTTTCTTATTTCTATTTGAGAACTACTTAAGGTTGTGCAGTGCTACAGAAGGCTGAGAGAGAAATTATTCCTTTCTCTAAGGATAAAGAGGGATAGAAAGACTTCTACCTAACCACCGTTTTGTATTCCTGAAATTATTTATCTCCCTGCAATCTTCTTTGACAACGATGTAATTGCTTCAATAATAAAAAAGCTGAAAGAAGGCATGTGGCACACAAACCTCTGTAATGCATTCATTTAAAAGATAAGCAAAATTGCTTGTGAATAACAAATGATACCTCAAGTGTGGCTGTCTTTGAAATAAATCATACCTTAAATCCTGGAGATCAGGTTGTACACACCTTAAGAACATCCCCATTCCCTTTCATTTGTTTGCAAAAATCAAGAATTTTAACTCCTACTAAGTCCTGCATGGGCTCTGCCAATGAAAATAAAAATTATTGCAAGTCTGGTAATCAGAATTCTAGAGTGAAATAAAAGTTTCCCCAGGTTTTTTTTTTTCTTTTTTAATCATGTAGATGCCAGATACTAGGAAGTTGGAAAATGGAGTGAGGGAAACCAGTGAACAAAGAAAATAATAAAAGATATTCAAAAGGTGACAGAACGAGAAATTACAATTTGTACCATAGCTGGAATAATGTCAGTTCCTATGTAAAGATTAATGTGAATTTACTAAAGCATTTTGAATTAACACAATTATAGCATGTGATTTAGTGAGTTTTATCAAAAGATAATCATTACTCAGTACAAACACGTACCTTTGGAAAAGTCTTTCCTGGTTTTCTTCTACAGTAACAAGGATAGATGTTTTTCATTGATAATTTTCACTTAATAATATATAAAGTTTCTCTAGGTAGATGGGTGACTACCTTTCATTAGAAAAAGGAAGCTCTCAGAAAATGTTAATAATTCCTTTACTATCTCTAATAATGATTTTTAAATATTTTATTTACAACTCAGCTTTGATGTATAGCTCCCTGAATCTAAACAAACAAACAAAACATTTTCAATAGTTTAATCTGAAGTCTTACCAGTGATACGGGGTTAGTATTAAAGTCTCTACAATTTTTATGCGGTAGGAGTTTTTTAAATTGACTTTGTACAGAACTGTTTGAACTGAAGTATGGCCTTTATTTTGCCATTTCATTTAACTAGTGTTTGTGACATAGTATTTATGATTAAGCAACGTCAAAGCTGAAAATATTTTGTTCCTCACATACAGTGCAACCTCAAATAAAGTGCACCTCTTGATGGATGCCAGTCAGATATGGTGTATTTGGAAAAAATAGTGAGAAAAGTCATCAAGTGCAGGAACAAATGAAAATGTACTTTTTGAGCAGTAGGATTGAGACCTCCAGGGATTTTTCTTTTCAGTGTATAACTGTCTTAAAAGTCAATGCATGCCTTTTAAAAATCATGATTCCTATCATATTCCTTATACAATCATGGAAATGTAGTTTTGTGGTTGGAACAATAACAACAATAAAAAAAAAACTAATGAAATGTTTACTCTATTTGTGCCTGCAAGGTAAAAAATAAAACAAAATAACAATAAATGGTATTTTATGAATTAATATTTTAAGGGCCAAGCATTGTGCTAAATATTTTATATCAATTATTCCAGCAAAAACAAAACTTAAAAGCCTCTGAGATAAGTACTCTTATTATGCCCATATTACAGATGAGGGAACTGGAGCATAGAAAAAGTCAAAACAACTTGCCTAAATGCAAATAAATAAAATTTTTTGAAGGTGAAAAACAACAGCAGCAAAATAGCCAAGCTTGATTCTCTAGTCCATGCTTTTGATCGTTATGTTAGACTGGCAGACAATTTAAGTCAGACAATTTAACATCTCCAAAAATGTCCTGGTTAATACAAGGATAAAGATCTTTGCTTGTCTTGCTAATTTTGTCATTTGTCATTGGTAAAATATTGATGAGACTTGACCCAAGTATAGAAATCCAAAAAGATCATCTTTTTATGTTGTTATGTTTTTCATAACTACCATAGCACCTCATTTCAAAAATAAGGTAGAAGGTGGTAACACCTGACAGATTCAGGTGCAATGTTTTCATAGACAACTTGTTACCATCACAGTTATTATTTCCATTTTCCTTTGTACAGAACCCAGTGCTGCTCCCACAGATGTCAAGGCTACAAGTATGTCTGTGTCAGAGATTCTTGTTGCATGGAAACATATTAAAGAGAGTCTAGGAAGACCACAAGGATTTGAGGTATGAATAGAATTATTGAAAATAAGCCTTGTTATTTTTGCTGCTACTGCATTCTCCTAAAGAAATGGTTTGATGACACTTCAACAGAATTATATTCTTTTGAAATTTTTGTCCTGTGGCAAAGAAAGTGAGAAATACACTATTTTACTGACATGTTGTTCATTAGCTGGCTTATTTTTTAGTACAGTAGTTTCCATAGTACCATATAAAAATTTTTTTAAGGTGAAAATAAACCTTTAGATAAAAATTAGGAGTTACTAGTGGATATTTACTGATATCCAATTTACAGGTGATTAAAAATGTTTTTGAACAAAAAAGTTTTTTTGTGTATTTCCCCCTAATAATTTAATGTATAAAACAAGTTTTCCTATTATACAGTCTTGGCAGATCTTAACTCTTATACTGAATTCTCAAAATTTGCTTGGACTTGGTGATGTATACTTATTTATTCAAATTACTTTTTGTCCTTTAAATTTTGCTGTTTTTAAACACAGTTATGCCAGCCTTATATTGGTGAAAATTTCATAACATTTCAATGACTTCAATGAAACTCCACATGAACTAAAAGATCATATGTAATCTATGAACTTGAATAGTCCACAAATTCAAGATCCTTATTTTTTGTGTTGGCCAGTAAGTGATAGGATTTAGGGGTATAATTTCTAAAAGACAAAAAATAATTACCATCCAACACAAGAACTTAGTTCCCTTCAACTTAAATACTGATCAAGTATAGGACTTGTACACCAACATGGTTTCAGACTGAAAATACATTTTTTAAATTCTATTTGAGGTTTCAAATAAGCCTGAGAAATATTTGATTAATATACTACTAGCATTAGATAATGTTTTCTATGATCAAGAATTCACACAATCTTTCTTAAGAATTACAGTAAGGACCATTGCTAAGAAACCATTATCTATACAATATCATGGATTTGTTTCTATAATATTGCTTTGATTTATTATTTAGAGGTCAGGGTTATAATTCAGTATGTGTCTAACCATGATTGCATGTTTATTTGATTAATATCTCCTTGTCTCCCCATCTATGCTGCAGAACCATATCTATTCACCAATGAATCTTAACAACTGATAGTACTTGGCTCATGAGAGCTACAATAAATATTTGTTGAATGAATGAATATCTATGCTTCATAACACAAGTGTTGGCTGCTTATGGTTAACTGAAGGGTGCTGCTTTACCTGAAAAATTCCCTTCCCACAATCAGACAACACAAAGCCAATGATTGACTGAGTGGTCCATTGACTAAAAGAGAAAACAACCTTATGGTCCATTTTATGATGCAGAACCTTTGCTGTGTGCATCAGGACAAGGCTGAATTGAGACCACAATCCTGCTCAGCTCCCTCCCTTTCCTTCTTCTCTCCTCCCTTCTTTACAGGTTTACCTGCAAGCACTCTCAAAATAAATCACAGGCACTCAAATCTCTCTCTCAAGTTCTGCTTCTAGGGAGCTTAACTTAAAACAACTATGTAAGTGTAGACTAACCTAGAATTCTGAATCAAAATCTGGTGTGCAAACTTTTAGAAAGGCTACAAAGTGTATCCTGGTGAACAAAAGAGTGAGGGATCCAGGCTCCCACATCTCAGAGTGGTGCTTCTCTCACACAACCAGCCACACTCATTTTTTTTTTTTTCTGCATGACATTCACATTCCCACTGTGACTCACTTATAACTAAAGCGCTCTTGTAGGTCCTGCAAACATCACATAAGATTTATGGGACGCCTGGGTGGCTCAGTTGGTTAAGCGGCTGCCTTCGGCTCAGGTCATGATCCCAGCGTCTTGGGATCGAGTCCTGCATCGGGCTCCTTGCTCTGCAGGGATCCTGCTTCTCCCTCTGACACTCTGTCTGCCTATGCTCTCTCTCTCTATGACAAATAAATAAATAAAATCTTTAAAAAAAAAGATTTATATTTGTGCACAATTCTTCTTTTTCTAAATATAAGCCATTCATTCATTAAGTCAACAAGCATTCATTGAAGACTCACTAAGTACCTAACAGACACTAAACTAGATGCCAGGGATAAAACAATGAGCAAAATGAAGTCTCTGTCCTCATGAAGTTCATATTGAATTAGGGAAGGCATGTAATAAACAAATAATGTGTGATGTAATTTCAATTATGATAAATACTCTGTAGAAAAATAAAACTGAGTGAAATAAGTCAAGCAGAGAAAGTCAATTATCATACGGTTTCACTTATTTGTGGAGCATAACAAATAGCATGGAGGACAAGGGGAGATGGAGAGGAGAAGGGAGTTGAGGGAAATTGGAAGGGGAGGTGAACCATGACAGACTATGGACTCTGAAAAACAATCTGAGGGTTTTGAAGTGGCGGGGGGTGGGAGGTTGGGGGATCCAGGTAGTGGGTATTGGAGAGGGCACGGATTGCATGGAGCACTGGGTGTGGTGCAAAAATAATGAATACTGTTATGCTGAAAAAATAAAAAATTTTAAAAAAAAGAAAAGAAAAATAAAACTGAATAAGAAGGTAGAAACTGAAAGAGTGTACTATTTATAAAGGTTTGAAAAGTCACCTTCTGGGATTGTGACATTTGAATTAAAGCATGACTGAATAAGGGAGAGAGAGGCAAAGAGAACAGCAGACTCAGTTTGTAAAGTAACAGCATGAAGGAAGTGATTTGGGTGAGATAGCAGTGAACAGAAAGGGTGGTAGAAAAATGGTGGAAAGAGCACCAAGACAAGAACCAGATTATATGGGGTGTTGTGAACCACAGAAAGGAATCTGGATTTTATCCCAAATATGAGAAGGCATTAAAAGATCTTGAACAGGAAGAGTCCCGTCAATATCTGACTTATATTTTAAAAGACTTTCTTAATCTAGAGGGTAGAGAATAGACTCTAGACAAGAACTCAGGGAGAACAGAGAAAAGCAGTTGTTCCAAACTAAGTGACAATGAACTTGCTTTTTTAAAAATTTATTTATTTATTTTAGAGGGAGGGAGAAAGAGAGAGAACAAGTGAGTGGGGGTGGAGGGGAGAGAATCTCATATCTTGTATGGATGTATGATGGAATTTGAAAATGAATTCAGTGTGAACTAAGAAAAAGAAAGGAATCAAAGATAATTCCAGAGTTTTTACCCAAGAAATGGGATGAATAACATGTCATTCACGTAAATGAGAAACTCTGAAAAAGACTGGATGTTAGTGGAAAAAAGTCATGGGTTCTGTTTAGTTTTATGCAACTTCTTATTTTCAAAAATAGTTGTCAAGTAGGTCTTATGCTAAGAAAAAGGGTAAAGATGTAGATTTAGCTCCAAGGAATCATCAGTATACAAATGACTTTTATGTATATACTGGTTGAAATCACTGAATATTGATAAAGAAGATGTTTCAGAATTGAGCCTTATGATGCCTAAACATTTGGAATTCAAGAAAGAAAGGGAGTTTGGCCAAAGAAAATAAAAGGAGACACTGAAGAAATTCAGAAGCTAAGAGAAGAATTGCTCTACTGAGTAAAATTCTTCTGAGAAATTCAGAAAGATGAAGCCTGCGTCTGCAAAACAGATATGGCAATACAGAGATCCTAGTGACCCTGGTGAGAGTTTAGTGGAATGCTGTGATCAAGGCTTAACTAGAGATCAGAAGCAAAACCACTCAAGGGTAACACTCAAGGGTCAAAGCACAACATTTTCGCTAGATGTATACCATTTAAAATGGAAACATATCCAAAAAACTGGAATATCCTTAAAAATAGAATGCTAATAGGAATAAACCAAATTCTGGAATAATCATCACAACGACTGCATTTTTAAATTCAAATAAATTAACACAAATTTGAACAACTATTTTTATACTTAGAAACACAGAATCCATGGGCACAGTAACCTTTATACCATTTTATAGTGCTTTATAATTTGTTTTTTAAAATATGGCATCTTGTCAAATCAAAAAACCTACAATAGGTACACAAAAAAATAGAAAGAAATCTAAGCATAACACTAAAAAAAAAAACTCCTCAAAAAGCAAGAGAAGAAAGCAACAGAGAAGAACTGCAAAAACAAGGAGAAAACAATTAACAAAGTGCCAATAGCCACATACCCCTTAATAGTTACTTTAAATGTAAATGGACTAAATGCTCCACTCAAAAGAATTGAAACAAACAAACAAAAAAACAAGAACCTTCTATATGCTGCCTAAAAAGACACTCATTTCAGACCCAAAGACACATACAGATTGAAAGTGAAGGGCTAAGAAAATATATAGCATGCAGGTTGAAGCAAAAAGAAAAATGACATAGCAGTAGACTTTAAAGCAAGAAACAAAGAAGGACACTACCTAATGATAAAGGGAACAACCTAACAAGAGAATATAACAATTGTAAATATTTATGCACCCAACATAGAAGCACTTAAATACATAAAGCAACTATTAACAGACATAAAGGAAGAAAGTGGCAATAATACAATAAGAGTAGGGGACTTTAACACCCCATGTGTATCAGTGGATAGATCATCCAGAAAGTAAATCAACAAGAAAACAGCAGCTCCAAATGACACATTGGACCAGATGGATCTAACAAATATATTCAGTACATTCCAACCAAAAACAGCAGAAGTGCACATATTCAAGTATACATGGAACATTTTCTAGAATAGATCACATTTTAGGTTGCAAAATAAGTCTCAATAAATTAAAAAAGATTGAAATCATATCATGCATCTTTTCTGACCACAACATAAGAAATCATGAGAAAAAATCTGGAAAGAACACGGATAAATGGAAACTAAATAACATGCCACAAAACAATGGCTGGGTCAACCAAGAAAGCAAAGAGGAAATTCAAAATTGCACAGATACAAATGAAAATAAATACACAATAGTCCAAAATCTCTGAGATGAATTGAAAACTGTCCTAAGAGGGAAGATTATAGTAATCAGGCCTACCTCACGAAGCAAGAAAACTCTCAAACAACCTAACCTTATACATAAAGGAACAAAAAAAAGAGCAAAG